ACCCGAACCTCCACGCTGCGCTGGTCCACCCCGACCACCACCCGTGCCGCCGCCACCACGCCCACTGCCGCCACCACCACCGCCTCCACCCCGGCCTCCTCCACCACCACTGCCGCCACCACCCCCGCCGCTGCCACCGACCCCCCCAGCCCCGCCACCACCCCCACCACCGCCACCACCCCCACCACCCCCACCGCCTCCACCTCCACCTCCACCTCCCCCGCTGGCACCACCACCACCCTTGCCCCCCTTGCCCTTGCCGCCCTTGCGCCTCCAGCTAGGAGCAGACGCAGCCCCAACTTCCTCAGCACCAAGGAAGTTGACAGCGGCAGCAGAGGCAACCGAGGGGAGAAGGGGGGGAGGGGAACACCCGTCAAAGAAGGGCGTGCGGGGGTCGCCACGAGAGGCACCTACAGCAACTATGCTAGCCTCAGCTGCAAGCAGATGCTTCTCGAGCAGGTCAACGGTGAGCTCGGTGGGGCAGAGGGCGAGAAAGTGGTCCCTGACTGCGCGAAGAGAGTCAGGGAGACGGGTGACTAGGTGGTAGAGAACGAGGTACATCGGGGGAGGATTCTTGGCGAGGAACTCTGCAGGAAGGGCGGCGCGGTAGCGAGTGTCACTAGTGCGGAGGTGGGTAATGAGGTCAGCGACTGTGGGAAAGGCGGCGAGATCGGGGAAAAGATAGGGCAGCGAGAGACAGCCTATCGTAGCAGAGGCAGGCGAGGAGTAGCGAGCGACGATTGCATCGTACAGTGCCTTAGCAGTCTTGTGCTGGCCGAAGTGTGCGCGCTCATCTAACGGCAGGTGGCTGCGAATGGCTAGGCGAGCGTGGGCGTCACGAGTCTGCCACTGGGAGCGAGCTGTACTGTCAGCAGTGTCAGCAGGTGCTAGAGCGGTTCCGGACGCGTGGTCATATAGCGAGACATCGTCCTTATCGGTGATCTGGAGGAACAGGTGCAGATCGTCGAGCCATGCATCAAACTGGAGCGGACGGCCCTCAGCATCGAAAGAGAGAACTGTGGGAGAAGCCATAGTGGCAGTAGCAGCAGTAGCAGTAGCAGTAGTAGCAGTAAGAGCAGTAGCAGTAGCAGCTGTAGTAGTAAGAACAGCTGTAACAGCAGGAACAGGAACAACAGTTGCTGCAGGTGGGGCGGCGCGGCTCGGTCAGGGCGGCGCGACTCGGGCGGCGCAGCTCGGGTAGGTAGGGCGGCGCGACGGCTGGCCTATGCACGGTGCGCGGCGGCGCCTGGGGTGCGGCTGCTCGCGGGCCGCGGCTGCGTTCTTGCGGCGGCTAAGCGCGAGCTGCAGCAGCCGACGCGCGATCGCCACTGCGCGCGGGCTGCGACCTGCGGGCGGGCGGCGGTGGGTCGAGCGTCGGCCTAGGGGCGAGCGGCCGTGCGTGGGCTGCAGTCACGCACGGGCGGCGGCCTACGAAAGCGGGGCGGCGGCCTACGAAAGCGATGCGGCTGCCTACGGGCGGGGCTGCTTCGCGCTGGAAGGCCAGCCGGTCCGGTCGACGGGCGGCTAACGGGCCGCTCGTGGGCGGCTCTAGTCTCGCGGGCGGCCTACGGTCGTCGCGCGCGCGATTCGGGCCTCGTGCAGGCGGCTAGCGGGCGGCGCGCGCTAGAAAAAATAGGCCGCGCGCGGGCGGCTAGCGAGCTGCTCACGGGCAACGTGAGAGAGAGAGGCGCACGAGGGCGCACTAGGAGAGAGGCGCACGAGGGCGCGACGGCGAGAGGGCGCTCGAGGGCGCTACTAGCGGAAAGGTGGGCCCTTAGGACTAAGCGGTCCTAGGTTCCTAACCTAGGCTCGTTATACCATGTCAGAATGAGAGAAGTGTTTGGACTAGTGAGATTGGGAGTACAAGTAGGAAACCCTAGAATATTGTACCCCCTAAGGCTAAACCCACTGTAGCCTACACAACAGCAACATATGTAATGTTTGACAAATTCATCTGGGGCTCAGTCATGAGCACAAAGGGTGGCTTATTCTTGACATTGACAGCAAGGAGATCGTTCCCGCGCGTGACATTCTCTTTTACGAGCGACTCACCCTAAAGCAATGGATCGAGGACGAGCGCCGCAACCAGGCACGCGGCTACGTCAACAGGGGTCGCAGCTTTGCGACTCCAGAAGACGAAGCAGCAGCAGCAGCACTGGACCGCGATGACACCGACGCACCCCAACATCCCGCCTCGCCCGCGCGACGGTGACGACGATGACAGTGACGATGACCCTGCGCCAGGGCCGTCACGGTGCCAAGCAGAGCCAAGCACCGCTGCATCCGGCTACGAAAGCGGAGACGACGACGTGGTGGAAGTCTCTACCAACACAGACACCACCAATGTGTCTGGCCTACAACTTCTCGGCCTACACACGTCTGTCACCACATTCGCACGAGCCGTGGAGCCAAAGAACCCTCGCCACGCCCTAACCGGCCCTCACGCCAAGGAGTGGCGTGCTGCGATGGACGCGGAACTAAAGGCACTGGAGTCTCGAGACACATGGGTCCTCGTCGATCGTGCAGCAGTGAAGGGGAGGAGAGTACTCAGCGGAATATGGGTTTTTCGCTTGAAGACTAACGCTGACGGCACCATCGAACGATTCAAGGCACGCTGGGTCGTACGCGGGTACGATCAGCGACACGGCATCGACTTTGACCAGACTTTCGCTCCCGTCAGTCGTCACACCTCCGTCCGGATACTACTCGCCATTGCCGCCGCTAAGCACCTACCACTACGACAGATCGACGTCAAGAACGCGTTCCTATACGCGTTAGTGGATGCTACCATCTTCGTGGAGCAGCCTCACATCTACGGAGAAGGGGACTCCACGGTTTGTCAGCGGAAGAAATCCCTCTATGGGATCAAGCGAGCGCCTCGTCTGTGGCAGCAGCATCTGCACAAGATCCTTCTTGAAATCGGTTTCAAGCAGCTGCCACACGACCCGGGAATGTATCGCCTTCACTTCGGTGGCAACTACATCCTCCTGACAGTTTACGTCGACGATCTGCTGTACACGGGCACCTGAAACAAGCTCCTTAATCAGTTTGAGGAGAACCTGGCGCAGCGCGTTGACATCACCATCAACCACAGTGTGAAACAATTTCTGGGCCTGAACATCACCTACGCGCCAGAGGCAATTCACCTGTCAGCCTCCAAGTACGCAGAGCAGCTGGGGGAACGCTTCAACATTTCGCCCGCACCACTCTCAACTCCTTACCGCAACCCCAGTGCCAACTACAAGCCGGACAACAAACCCATGTCGCCCGCAGGACTCCAAATGTACCAGCAGAAATTGGGGTGCCTACTATTCGCCTCTGTCACCTGCCGACCCGACCTTTCGTACATCGCCAGCCAACTGGCACAGTACTCCCGCAAGCCAGTAGCTGAGAACCAGTTGGACCTGGAGCGCGCCCTGCAGTACTTCGTTTCCACACCTGACATCAGGCTCTCCTACTCCACGCTGACAACGACCTCCTTCAACCTCAACGGCTACGTGGACGCAGATCATGCCGCTGATCCTGACAATCGACGGTCCCGAACCGGCTTCGTTTTCCGCCTGGAACCAACAGGACCAATTTCCTGGAACTCACAGAAGCAGGAGCTGGTTGCCCTGTCATCGGCTGAAGCAGAATACATCGCCGCGACAGCAGCAGTTCGCGAAGGCCTGTACCTGCAGGAGCTATTACAGGAGGCGAAAATTCCAACCTCGCCTACCTTTCGCATTCACTGCGACAACCAGAGTGCTATCAGGATCGCGAAGAAGCCAGGTTTCGTGAACCGCACGAAGCACATCGCGCTACGGTTCTTTTTCGTCATGGACGAAATTGACCAGGGAAAAGTTGACCTCGCCTACTGCTCGACTACTGAGATGGCAGCAGACTTCCTCACCAAGCGTCTGCCACGTCAGCAGTACAAGCACTGCTCTGACCTCACCGGAGTAGTCAAGTGAGTCAGCTCCCCCTGCGCCCAGGAATGAAGGGGAGTGTTACGATATGAAGTTTTGTGAGAAGGCATTCCTGTATGCTGCAGGAGCCGACTCTACCGAGTACGAAGTCGAAGAGTCAGAAGAATCGAAGCGACACAGCAACCGTCTGACCAAGACCGATGCCGGCAGAAACACTTGAAGTGAAAAGAGCGGGAACAGGTTTGAAACGGGTTCCCGCGCCGCAATAAGGGAATGTACCCCTTAGAGTACATGGCTAGTCTAGGTCCTTTCGTATTCCCCTGTACTCTTATATAAACTCGATGTATGCATGCTTTTATCAACTCAGTCATTTACATTCACTCTGACCTGAGATTCAAACTTCCGATGCAACACTACTCTGCGATCAACCCTGAGCGATCCTTCGCTAAGTCCCCCTTGGGATTGTAGCAAAAATGATACAAGTTGTAGTACCGGTACTTGCACCCAATATACTAGACAGAGCCCTGTTACCGTACTAGACTAGGCCCTCTAGATTAGGTCCCAACAATAGACTAGGGCCCATTACAAGGCTAGGGCCCTGATACTGGTTACAAGGCTAGGGCCCTGTTACTGGTGTAATTTGGCTACCACTACTAGACCAGGGGCCCATAACTACCAGTAGACAAAGGCCCCACGATTAAACTAAGCAGCCCCATCATTGGACTGAGGGGCGTGTAACAAACGTGTGAGCTAGTGGTGTGGAGGTAAAAACCATTCTGCCATTTTTTGGAGCATTTTCAGGTACCAGGTGCGCCACAGACAGGCTAACATGTCAGCAGTTGCTACTTCTGGCGCTTGTAGATCTTCTTGAGGAAGGACGTCAAGGCCTCCTGCAAGCAGCACGGCAGCAAATGCAGTCAACGCAGCAAAAGGGAGGGCGTGAGAGGGTGGACAGACAAGCGGAACGAAATCAGGGAGACAAGTACTTCCTGCAAGGAGCACGATGCGTGCAAGTGCAAGTGGGTGCATGGCAAGTAGAGTTGCATGTCTGCCAAGGCTAGCTTCAGCTGCCACATCCGGCGATGCATCCCATCAGTGCAGCCCCCTACAAGCACAATGCAGCCCTTTATGCAGCCCCTGATGCAGCCCCTGATGCAGCCCCTGATGCAGCCCCTGATGCAGCCCCTGATGCAGCCCCTGATGCAGCCCCTGATGCAGCCCCTGATGCAGCCCCTGATGCAGCCCCTGATGCAGCGCCTCATGCAGCCCCTGATGCAGCCCCTGATGCAGCCCCTCATGCAGCCCCTGATGCAGCCCCTGATGCAGCGCCTCATGCAGCCCCTGATGCAGCCCCTGATGCAGCCCCTGATGCAGCGACTCATGCAGCCCCTGATGCAGCCCCTGATGCAGCCCCTCATGCAGCGCCTCATGCAGCCCCTGATGCAGCCCCTGATGCAGCCCCTGATGCAGCCCCTGATGCAGCCCCTGATGCAGCCCCTGATGCAGCCCCTGATGCAGCCCCTGATGCAGCCCCTGATGCAGCCCCTGATGCAGCCCCTGATGCAGCCCCTGATGCAGCCCCTGATGCAGCCCCTGATGCAGCCCCTGATGCAGCCCCTGATGCAGCGCCTCATGCAGCCCCTGATGCAGCCCCTGATGCAGCCCCTGATGCAGCGACTCATGCAGCCCCTGATGCAGCCCCTGATGCAGCCCCTCATGCAGCGCCTCATGCAGCCCCTGATGCAGCCCCTGATGCAGCCCCTGATGCAGCCCCTGATGCAGCCCCTGATGCAGCCCCTGATGCAGCCCCTGATGCAGCCCCTGATGCAGCCCCTGATGCAGCCCCTGATGCAGCCCCTGATGCAGCCCCTGATGCAGCCCCTCATGCAGCCCCTCATGCAGCGCCTCATGCAGCCCCTGATGCAGCCCCTGATGCAGCCCCTCATGCAGCGCCTCATGCAGCCCCTCATGCAGCCCCTGATGCAGCCCCTGATGCAGCCCCTGATGCAGCCCCTGATGCAGCCCCTGATGCAGCCCCTGATGCAGCCCCTGATGCAGCCCCTGATGCAGCCCCTGATGCAGCCCCTGATGCAGCCCCTGATGCAGCCCCTGATGCAGCCCCTGATGCAGCCCCTGATGCAGCCCCTGATGCAGCGCCTCATGCAGGCCCTGATGCAGCCCCTGATGCAGCCCCTGATGCAGCGACTCATGCAGCCCCTGATGCAGCCCCTGATGCAGCCCCTCATGCAGCGCCTCATGCAGCCCCTGATGCAGCCCCTGATGCAGCCCCTGATGCAGCCCCTGATGCAGCCCCTGATGCAGCCCCTGATGCAGCCCCTGATGCAGCCCCTGATGCAGCCCCTGATGCAGCCCCTGATGCAGCCCCTGATGCAGCCCCTGATGCAGCCCCTCATGCAGCCCCTCATGCAGCGCCTCATGCAGCCCCTGATGCAGCCCCTGATGCAGCCCCTCATGCAGCGCCTCATGCAGCCCCTCATGCAGCCCCTCATGCAGCCCCTGATGCAGCCCCTGATGCAGCCCCTGATGCAGCCCCTGATGCAGCCCCTGATGCAGCCCCTGATGCAGCCCCTGATGCAGCCCCTGATGCAGCCCCTGATGCAGCCCCTGATGCAGCCCCTGATGCAGCCCCTGATGCAGCCCCTGATGCAGCCCCTGATGCAGCGCCTCATGCAGCCCCTGATGCAGCCCCTGATGCAGCCCCTGATGCAGCCCCTGATGCAGCCCCTGATGCAGCGCCTCATGCAGCCCCTGATGCAGCCCCTGATGCAGCCCCTGATGCAGCGACTCATGCAGCCCCTGATGCAGCCCCTGATGCAGCCCCTCATGCAGCACCTCATGCAGCCCCTGATGCAGCCCCTGATGCAGCCCCTGATGCAGCCCCTGATGCAGCCCCTGATGCAGCCCCTGATGCAGCGCCTCATGCAGCCCCTGATGCAGCCCCTGATGCAGCCCCTCATGCAGCGCCTCATGCAGCCCCTCATGCAGCCCCTGATGCAGCCCCTGATGCAGCCCCTGATGCAGCGCCTCATGCAGCCCCTGATGCAGCCCCTGATGCAGCCCCTGATGCAGCCCCTGATGCAGCCCCTGATGCAGCGCCTCATGCAGCCCCTGATGCAGCCCCTGATGCAGCCCCTGATGCAGCGACTCATGCAGCCCCTGATGCAGCCCCTGATGCAGCCCCTCATGCAGCGCCTCATGCAGCCCCTGATGCAGCCCCTGATGCAGCCCCTGATGCAGCCCCTGATGCAGCCCCTGATGCAGCCCCTGATGCAGCCCCTGATGCAGCCCCTGATGCAGCCCCTGATGCAGCCCCTGATGCAGCCCCTGATGCAGCCCCTGATGCAGCCCCTGATGCAGCCCCTGATGCAGCGCCTCATGCAGCCCCTGATGCAGCCCCTGATGCAGCCCCTGATGCAGCGACTCATGCAGCCCCTGATGCAGCCCCTGATGCAGCCCCTCATGCAGCGCCTCATGCAGCCCCTGATGCAGCCCCTGATGCAGCCCCTGATGCAGCCCCTGATGCAGCGCCTCATGCAGCCCCTGATGCAGCCCCTGATGCAGCCCCTGATGCAGCCCCTGATGCAGCCCCTGATGCAGCCCCTGATGCAGCCCCTGATGCAGCCCCTGATGCAGCCCCTCATGCAGCTCCTCATGCAGCCCCTCATGCAGCGAGAGGGCTCGCTGTGCACTCACTCTCAGGGGCTCGCTGTGCACTCACCCTCAGCGGTTCACTCTCCACTTGGGCAATGGCGGCTGTGATGCCAGCGTGGCTGTCCTTCTCGTACTCCGCAAATGCATCCTGCAGGATTCCAGGGGAGAAGGGAGGGGGAAAATGCATAGACGGGAATGAGTGGAGTGGAATGAATGGAGGGAAAGGGGTGTTTCTGAGGTGGGTAAAGAGGGTGGCAATGATGCTGATGCCAGCCGTGGCTGTCCTTCTCATACTCCGCAAATGCATCCTGCAGGATGCCATGGGAGGGGAGTAACGGTGCGCAATTGAAGTGAACGGAGGCAATATGTGGCGGGAGGGAAACGCATGGAAGTGGACCAGAAGAGAAGACTCGAGCACAAATGCTGACAAACAGGATAGTTATGGCGCCAAGAGGAGCACCCATAATGGACCGTGGCAACTAACACACCAGAAAACAGGCACCGGTGAGAAGCAGCAGCATCGCCAGCACCCTCAGGGCTGTCAACCCCTTGAGCGGGCAGCACTGCCTGTCAGCCACGCAGCAGTCTGGCATGCCCATAGCCACGGCCCAACCAAACTCGTACTCGTAATGTAGCCATGGCAACTAACACACCAGAAACCAGGCATGACTGAGCAGCAGCAACGCCAGCACCCTCAGGACCATCTCCCTACAGGCGATCCCCTCTTGGACGGGCAGCACTGCCTGTCCAGCCATGCAGCAGCCTAGCATGCCCATAACCACGGCCCGGCCCAACCAAACTCACACCTGCATGTAGCCGTGGCAACTAACAAATGAATTTTGACACGCCTGAAACATCCCAACCAAACTCATACCCGTGTGTAGCCGCGGCAACTAACACACCAGAAACCAGGCACGGCAGAGTAGCAGCAACGCCAGCACCCTCAGGGCTGTCAACCTCTTGGGCGGGCAGCACTGCCTGTCAGCCATGCAGCAGTCTGGCATGCCCATAGCCACGGCCCAACCAAACGAGTAAACAACTGTATGTGACCGCGGCAACTAACACACGAGAAACCAGGCATAGCTGAGCAGCAGCAGCAAGGCCAGCGCCCTCATGGGCGGGCAGCACTGCCTGTGAGCCATGCAGCAGTCTGGTATGCCCATAACCACGGCCCGGCCCAAACCAAACTCGTACCCGTGCACGGCCTCGGACCAACTCTCATGAGTGCTACAGCTTGGGCAACTCTTACGAGTGCAAATTCCTAGGCGGCTCTTATGAGTGCAAAGGCTCAGGCAACACTTTTTCAGTGGCCAAGACACTGCACAGGTGAGCCGGTTTGGGCACGTCAGTTTTGCATGCATGCCAATGCTGCAAAGGACCCTTGGTTTTCAAGAGGTTGCCTTTTGAAGCGAGGGCGGGATTCAAGCGGGAGGCAAGGTGGAAGCTTGGAGCCTTGATCCTCGTCTGAGTGCATGCGGTGTAGCATAGTAGCACAAAGCAGCGCTCGCTCGCTACTTGATGCTTTCATGATGTTTTTACGGTGGCTTCACGGTGCTTTCATCAAGACGTACCTCCAACTCGAAACTCACCTCTGGTGCAGCAGCACTAACACTCCACGTAGTTTTGAGACGTCTCACAACTCGAAACTCACCTCTGGTGCAGCAGCACTAACACTCCACTACAAAAGATATGGGACCCGTCCTTCCATTGCAATCCTGAAATAAATGCAGCACTCACCACTCTCCACCCTGGAACTTCAATGCAGCCACATGCTGAACGCACCTGCAGCTTCATGTCTGTGTAGAGCTGCTTTATGGCCGCCACACAATTCTCGTCCTCCTTGTGAGATTGCATACACCAGATCTGCACTCACAGCTACACACCAAGCCACTCAATGCACTCATGCACGCACCTGCAGCTTCATGTCTGTGTAGAGCTGCTTCATAACCGCCACACACTTCTCGTGGCACTCAACCACACTTAAGCACTCTCAACCAAACTCAGTGACGCTTAACCGCACTCAACCACACTCAGTCACGCATAACCACTCTCAACCACACTCAGTCAAGCTTAACCACAATCATCCACAGATTGAGCTGCACGCACCTGCAGCTTCATGTCTGTGTAGAGCTGCTTTATCACCGCCACACACTTCTCGTCCTTCTTGCCATAGTTGCTCTGCGTTCAAGGGAGAGGCAGAGAGGAAGGGCAGGGGAGGAGAAAGGCGGGCGGACAGGGAGGGAAGGAAGTGTTAATACGCCCTAAGTCAAGATCTGCTCGTGGTCCCCCCCACACCCTTTCACCTCAACCACCTCCTTTAACTGCCTCACAAGTCCCCACTAGTGCCCCCTACCCACGCCCCCTAGTCCTCCCAAGCACCCTCTACCCACGCCCGCCCACCTCAATAATCTGCCGCTACTCATGTGTGGCCCTGTGCAGCACCTTTAGAGTCGACTCAAAAGTAACCTCAGGAACCAGCTCACAACAACACACAAGTGCTCTCAAGTGCCCCTATCCACGCGCGCTCACCTCAATGATCTCCCTCTGCTCCTGTGTGGCCCGCTGCAGTGCCTGCACCACCAGCCACGAGCACTTGGTGTCCTCTATGTCCGTGCCCACCTGGTGATGCACGGGGGGAAATGGGTATGGGTGGCGTGACACACAGATGGAACCACGAGCCACGAGCACTTGGTGTCCTCTATGTCCGTGCCCACCTGGGAAAAGGGTGAGGATCGAGGGGTGAGGGGTGGAGGGTGGGGAGAGGGATGCGGGTTGGAGGGTACGGGGTCAGGGGTGCGTGGCGCGGGGTGGTGGTGCTGTGACACACAAACGCTGTGATTAACATAACCACCAGCCAGCCTTCATCACGACCTGGTTGGTGATTGATGAGACCACTTCACGATTCATCCATGATTCACCAGCCAGCTCGAAATGCACCTGTCTTTGCTCTGGCATTCCCACCTTGTCGGTGACAGCAGGGTCCCCGAAGCAGTCAAGAATATCGTCCTGCACCTGGAAGTACGTCGCCATCACCACCACACCACACTAGCACGTTTGGCCTCATTACCACCACACGCACTCTAACCTAACTACTAGTTGCGCACCTTGCCGATCACCGCGGGGTCCCTGAAGCAGTCAAGAACATCGTCCTGCACCTGGAAGCACGTCCCCATCACCACCAGCATACAAGCATACCCAAACCACATGCCCTGTGTGTATCCCCAGCCACTTTACCTTCCCAATGACGGCAGGGTCGCCAAAGCAGTCAAGAACATCGTCCTGCACCTGGAAGTACGTCCCCATCACCACCACACCACACTAGCACGTTTGGCCTCATTACCACCACACGCACGCACTCTAACCTAACTACTAGTTACGCACCTTGCCGATCACGGCAGGGTCGCCGAAGCAGTCGAGCACGTCGTCCTGCACCTGGAAGTACGTCCCCATCATCACCAGGATCTCCCTCGCCTGTGCTGCCAGCGCTGCATCCTCCACGCCCGCCAGGATCAGCGCTGTCGCCACCTGGGGGAGGAGAGAGGGGGAGAAAGGGAGGTGAGGGTTCAAGAAACACGGGCCTGGTGTGACAACAGGAAGGGTTTCCATCGCCTGTGCTGCATCCTCCACACCCGCCAGCATCAGTGCCGTCGCCACCTGGGAGGGAAGAGTGTTTTGAGTCGACTCAATATGTGCTTCGAATGGTAGAAACGTGTTTTGAGTGGAATCAGGATCTCCCTCGCCTGTGCTGCCAGTGCTGCATCCTCCACACCCGCCAGGATCAGCTCTGCTGCCACCTGGGGGAGGAGAGGTGAGGGTGAAAACGGGGCAGGGGTGGGTCTAAACACACGGCCCTTGGCGTGGCAACTGGCCGGGCAGGGTTGCTCCTATGCTGCCAGTGCTGCATCCTCCACGCCCGCCAGGATCAGCACCGTCACCACCTGGTGGAGGAGAGGAGTGATTGAACTCGACTCAGCATGTGTCACTCAGTTGATTGACTAACTCTGTGTTTTGAGTCGCCCCAGGATCTCCCTCGCCTATGCTGCCAGTGCTGCATCCTCCACCCCCCCCCCGCCCAGGATCAGCGCCGACACCACCTGGTGGAGGAGAGGAGTGCGGGCACGGAAGCAGACGCCTTTGAAAAGGTCTCCAAAGCCCGCCAGTCAGCCAGTATAGGCACAGTAGCCACCTGGGAGGGAGAGAGACAAGGGTGCACGCTTGACATGAGGTTGTGAGACGAGTGGATTTTTGTTTTCTGTCTTTCTTCCCCCGATTTCCTCTCAAGAGCTGCGTTGCAAGGAAGTGCTTGGGCGGGATGCGATGAGAACGCAGAAAATTCGTACAGGGATGCGACGACGGAGGGCAGGAGGGAGGGAGAAAGGAAGATGCTTACAGGGAGATAGAAAGAGTAGTAGGCCGTCTTGTACTGCACAATCTTTAGGTACCTGGGAGAACATGGGGCAGGGGAAGGGGAAGAAAATGGGGAAAGAGTTGGAGAAGGGAGAGAGGAGGGAGTGGGATGGAAGGGAGGGGGACGGGAGTCAGGAGAGGTTGTAAGGAAGAAGGGACGGATGGTGGACAGATGAAACAAATGTCGTGGTATCTTGCCACCTTATACCCATGTGGTGTGGACATGATGCATTACATTACAGTATACCCGCCCGCATGGACGTCCACAGTATACCCTCGTGGAGCTGGTGTATCCCACAGTGGACATGGTGTAATGCCACAATATACCCACGTGGACATGGTGTAATGCCACAGGATACCCACGTGGACATGGTGTAATGCCACAGTATAACCACGTGGACATGGTGTAATGCCACAGTATACCCACGTGGACATGGCGTGATCCACAGTATACCCAGGTGGACATGGTGTAATGCCACAGTATACCCACGTGGACATGGTGTAATGCCACAGTATACCCACGTGGACATGGTGTAATGCCACAGTATACCCACGTGGACATGGTGTAATGCCACAGTATACCCACGTGGACATGGTGTAATGCCACAGTATACCCACGTGGACATGGTGTAATGCCACAGTATACCCACGTGGACATGGTGTAATGCCACAGTATACCCACGTGGACATGGTGTAATGCCACAGTATACCCACGTGGACATGGTGTAATGCCACAGTATACCCACGTGGACATGGTGTAATGCCACAGTATACCCACGTGGACATGGTGTAATGCCACAGTATACCCACGTGGACATGGTGTAATGCCACAGTATACCCACGTGGACATGGTGTAATGCCACAGTATACCCACGTGGACATGGTGTAATGCCACAGTATACCCACGTGGACATGGTGTAATGCCACAGTATACCCACGTGGACATGGTGTAATCCCACAGTATACCCACGTGGACATGGTGTAATGCCACAGTATACCCACGTGGACATGGTGTAATCCCACAGTATACCCACGTGGACATGGTGTAATGCCACAGTATACCCACGTGGACATGGTGTAATGCCACAGTATACCCACGTGGACATGGTGTAATGCCACAGTATACCCACGTGGACATGGTGTAATGCCACAGTATACCCACGTAGACATGGTGTAATGCCACAGTATACCCACGTGGACATGGTGTAATGCCACAGTATACCCACGTGGACATGGTGTAATGCCACAGTATACCCACGTGGACATGGTGTAATGCCACAGTATACCCACGTGGACATGGTGTAATCCCACAGTATACCCACGTGGACATGGTGTATTTGTTGAGATCCACCTCCCCTTCAGGAGTGGTGATGAGGTCAAGCATCTGGCCACACGCTGTCTGGTATGTCACCTGGAGAGGGGCGGATTGTGGGAATAAGGAGGGCGGGAGGAGGGGGGGAGGAGGGGGGAGGAGGGGGTAAGACGGGTACAAACAGAAGGTGTGGAGACGTGGAGCATCAACCCTCACATAGGTCCCTGCAGAGGAGGGAAGTGGGAGGGGAGGAGGGGAGGGGAGGGGATAAGAGCGGAATAAATAGATGGAAGGCGTGGTGATAAGGCGAGCATCTGTCCACACAGGGAAGGAAGGGAAGCGGGAAATGCAAGAACAGGGAGTTAGGAGAACGGGAGAAGGAGCAACGTACCTCGTGGGAGGAGGTGGGTGGGTGTAGGCAGGGTGGGAGGAGAAGTGGCGACACAGCTTTGAGGCGCCTCAGAAGGGAAGGTGGGGGGGGGGGGAGCCGCGTACCTCATTAAAGAGGTCGAGCAGGCGGGTGTAGGCGGGGTGGGAAGAGAAGTGGCGGCGCAGGATGAGGAAGATGTGTGAGTTGAGCAACACGCCATCGTTGATGGCGATCATTCCCACCTGTAGGCACGCAGGCATGGGTGCATGGGTGAGTGCATGGGTGCATGGGAATGCATGGGTGTATGGTTGAACGCATGGGTGTATGCATGAAGGCATGGGTGCATGGTTGCATGGGTGCATGGGTGCATGCATGTGGGGACGGAGGAATGTGTATGCATGCAAAGCTGAGGAGAGAATGAGGAAGATGTGGCATCGTTGATCATCACGGCACAGCATCACTTCTGATGGCGTTTTGAGACGCCTCAAAACTCGATTGGCATCAATCATGCGCGGTCATGTCCCACTCACTCACCTCGTCCATACAAACCCTGTGCGTTACCCAATCACCTTGTTTCCCCCATTGCCCAATCACCTTGCCCCCATTGCCCAATCACCTTGCCTCCATTGCCCAATCACCTTGTTTCCCCCATTGCCCAATCACCTTGCCCCCATTGCCCAATCACCTTGCCCCCATTGCCCAATCACCTTGCCCCCATTGCCCAATCACCTTGCCCCCATTGCCCAATCACCCTGCCCCCATTGCCCAATCACCTTGCCCCTATTGCCCAATCATCTTGCCCCCATTGCCCAATCACCTTGCCCCTATTGCCCAATCACCTTGCCCCTATTGCCCAATCACCTTGCCCCCATTACCCAATCACCTTGCCCCCATTACCCAATCACCTTGCCCCCATTACCCAATCACCTTGCCCCCATTACCCAATCACCTTGCCACCACCCACTCAACTGGTCCCCACCACCCAATCACCTTGTCCACATTGCCCACTCACTGTGCTGTGTCGTGACCACATAGCACAGCAGAGCAGAGCTAAATGCGCATGCGTGCAGTGCACGCACCTTGTCCATGCGGTACCAGCACAGCTGGCCTCGGCGGGTGATGGAGCTATCCATGATGTCGTCCACCACCAGGAAGTACGCCTGCAGCTGTAGGGAGAAGCAGGGGATATGTGGGTGGGTGGGTGGGATGGGAGGAGTGGGGAGGGGGGTTATGGGGAATTCTCAAAGGCCTCGGCGGGTGATGGAGCTATCCATGATGTCGTCGACCACCAGGAAGTACGCCTGCAGCTGTAGGGAGAAGCAGGGGAAGAGGGGGAGCAGGGGGAGCGCGGGGGGGGGGGGGGGGGGGGGGGGGGGGGGGGAGGGAGGGAGGGGGGTTGTGGTTGGGGAGTTCAGGGCAGGCAACGATTTTGAGCTGTCCATGATGTCGTCGACACCCAGGAAGTAGCCCTGGAGCTGTAGTTTGGGTCAGAGGGTGGGGGGAGGGAGAGGAAGGCAGGACCGCAGGTACAGCGGCAGGGAGAGGGTGTGTAATCAGCCATACCCAATCAGTTCACAAGCCACAATCATTCGATTCACCAGCCATACCTAATCAAGCTACAAGCCATACCCAATCAGTTCGCACCACTCCAGCCATGCACACCACCCATGGGGCCATACCCATTCAATGCACCAGCCAACAGCACTGGCTTTGAAGACCTCATCGTCCGATAGCTTATCAAATCCACCCTTGAGAATCCCCACCGTGTCCACCACTGATAGCCCGCGGTTCAGCTTGCCTGGCGGCGCACACACACAGGGGGGAGTTGGGTGGGGAGGGGAAGCGGACAAGCAAGGGGACGGGAAAAGTGTTTGAGGTGCAACACACACAGGGACGGCTATGGGAAACTGGCCAACTAAAGCCGCCCTTGAGAATCCCCACCGTGTCCACCATTGGTAGCCCGCAGTTCAGTTCAGCTTGCCTGGCGCACAGGGGGAGGGGGAGGAAAAGAGGGTGAGAGGCACAGCGGACATGGGAAGGTGAATGGGAGCCGGCCTGATAGAAGATGCACTTGATAATACCCACTGTGTCAAACACTACACTGTGCCTATAGTGCGTTGGATTGATCAGCGTGTGTTGCAAAGAGTGTGTTGATCAGAGTGTGCCAGATGAATATGCACAACAAATAGCGTTCTGAGGTGGTGAGCTGTGGCTACTGACATGGCGGCAAGAGCGTGCATACCTCCAGGCACATTGTGGTCGATGTTCTGGCGGGCGGGGTGGTCCCATTAGCAGAGCCAAGCGCAGAGGCGAGGCGACACATGGGAGTAGATTCGAGGAGCACAGTGACGCGTACATGGGGACGGGGAGGGCCGTGGAGGAGAGACGGGGAGGGGAATGGGGAAGAGTTGGAAGGAGATGGAGGGGATATGCGGAAGAGATGGGGAGGAGACCGGGACGGCGATGTATGCAGAGAGAAGGAGGGGTGAGCCTAAAAACAGGGTCCTATACTGCACGCAATCCTCAGCGCATTTTGAGTTGGCTAGTAGCCTACGAACAAGGCCCTAAACAGCATGAGATCCGCAGCAAGTTATACCGTACTGCATGTGATCCGCAGCACGCTATCCTTCCCCCACCTTCTCCATCCACGCTTTCGAGTCCGGAGTGCACGAGAAGAGCTTGTCTTCGCCCAGCAGCTCCGCCTTGAGCTGCTGGAACACGCCCAAGAACCGCTCGCGATCCATGGCGCCGGCACTCGCGCTGATGCTGCTGCTGCTGCTGCTGCTGCTGTTCCTTTTCCTGGCGGGTGACGCGCTGCTGGCCTTGTCCGCGCTTGGTATGCTGCCGCTCTGAGGGAATCGACAAAGGCGTGCGATAGGAGCATGCGAAAACGATCGCGAAATTAAAGCGGAAAGAGCGCGGAAAAGGCGCGAGAACCGCACGGAAAGGAAGGGGCTTACGTAAGGGAGCGAAGGCGATGAAATGTGCGAAAATGGGACCCTTGATCAAAGGGAAGTCGAAACCTGCTTGAACCGTTTCTGGCTATCTTACAAGAGAAAGGTAACTAGAGGTAACTTGAATGAAAATGGTTGTAACCAGAATGTAGTCGAATCGGTAATACTAGAGAAAATGTAGCTCCCAGCGGAGAGACACGCCACCGCTGGAAAGCCCTTTCGCAGCCTTCTCCAGCCACTTATGTCGATTCAACGTTAAATCGACAATCGGAGCTACTATTGATGAAAATGAGCAAGGCTGCGACTCATCGAGCAGGAGGAAACTTCAAGAACTAACCGTGGATGGTGACTCTTGGATTAGAAGACTCCCCGCAGTGGAGTCACCGGCGCAAGGAGCGGCAACGCTTAAACAGCGGTACGAAAGAGAAGACGCGAGCAGCCTGTGGACGGCGCGCGAGCGGATCATCAACCGGCCAACAGACGACGGCTTTAACTACCAGTCCGAGCAGGTACCGATATGAGCGAATAATAAAATGTCCACGAAAGGCGAGCGGCCTTTGCGGCCCTGCTCAGACCAGATGGATTTTCTGGTCACTGATAGATCATGTGGCTGCAGTGCAGGCTAGTCCGTTCCGACAGGAAGCAGAAAAGAGTGATCACTGATGCTAGGCTGGAAAAAATTGTGTGGTGGTCAGGCATTGGGATTTGCGGAGATGTGAGCGTGGGCATGAAATCAGCGTGAGCGTGGGGTGGAACAAGCGTGAGTGTCAGGCGAGGCCTCAGGATTTGCGGCGAAGAAACAACGGGTCGGCGAAGAATTCCAGAGAACTGGGAGCGGCAACGGTGGGAATTCTGAGCTTGGCGACGCTCGCACCGCAGATCGGTGCACCAATTTATGTTACCCCTATTACTGATGTTGAGTTTATTCTCTGTGCTAATGTACATAAAATACATAAAACTCAAAGCGCAATCCATTTTCAAACTACATTCACGATAAATAGCGTCTATTAACTCATTTCGGTATCTTATGCAATCTATTTACGGTTTATTATCGAAGGTATAAGGTGTTCCATTTTTTTTTCTCGAGGGCTGTTCTTTTTTCAAAATATGAAAGAATGATAATGCAACTGCATCAGGCTCAAATTTCAATGTACAAACACTGCACGATGGGTTTTGATGTAATGTGTTACGGGTGCAATGAATCGAAGTAGCTAGAATTGCACTAAGGTGTCAAACGAGTACAAAATGTGAGCGAAGGCATGAGCGAACATTTATACGCGAAACATGCAAACGGTAAAGCGGTGCGTGCGAGCTAGCTAGTGCTATGCTGGAAGCGAGGTTCGGGCTAGTCCAAAAGCGTAGGCCGATACGGCCAGGCCAGCAGTGCGAGGTTTGGTGAAACAGTGCGCGCGAAGTCGGCGAAGCCCCGTTAGCAGTGACGGGCGAACAACGGCTGCTGCTGTACGCGATGTTGCAGGGCGCGCGAAGGAATATCGAGAAAATTCCTTACACTACCCCCCCCCCCCCCCCCCCCAAGAAGCCCCCTCCACTACGCGAGTGCGTGTATATCGCGGAAACCCCGGCTCCTCAGGTACACTTGCAGGGCAGGGTGGTTTTCGATGTTGGCCAGGGGCACCCAGCTATCTTCAGTTGGCGTGCGATCCTTCCAGCGAACGAAGAAATAAATCCTCCTGATTCCCGTGGGGTGTCGAATCCGATGGCTCAGGATTTTTTCGGGCTCAACGATCGGCTCCGATGCAGGTCGAGTCATGGATGGCGGGTGGTGACGAGGCAATTGGCTTGTGGTTGGAATGTATGGGCGAAGCAGGCTAACGTGGAACGAAGGGCTGATGTACCAGTCCGTCGGCAACAGTAGGTGGGCTGTCACTGGGGTAATCATGTGGCTGATTTGAAATGGTCCACAGTAGCGGGGTCGTAATTTCGGCATGACGGGCTGTCTTAAGTTCTGTGTGTCGAGTAGTACGTAGTCCCCTGACTGAAACGGGACTGGGCGGCGGTGGCGGTCATCGTTGCGTTTAGCGATGAGATTGGCCTTTTTAATTGCTTCTGCGGCTCTGGTGCGGGCAGCTTGCAGAATTTCGGCGAATTGCTGTGCACGTGGTGTTGGGTTGTCCGGACTCGGCGTCATGGGCACTGTAGGATTTTGCCCGTAGTTCAGGTAGAAAGTGGACTGCTGCGTCGTCGCTGATGTGGCGTTGTTATACGCGAAATCGATCAGCGGCAGCTGCTGCTCCCAAGTGGCCGGGTCGTCGCACGTGGCACGAATCAATTGCTCCATCGTCTGATTCGTCTGCTCCGTTTGACCGTCGGTCTCGGGGTGGTACGACGAGCTGAACTGTAGCCTTGTCCCGAACTGCTCCCAGAGGTTCTTCAAGAAGTTGCTGGTGAATTTCGTATCCCGGTCGCTGATTATCGTGGATGGTATCCCGTGCAGTCGAACGACGGCTGCGATGAACAGGCGCGCGGTTTCTTCGGCTGAGATCGATTTCTTGCACGCAGCGAAGTGTGCCATCTTCGTCAACCTGTCAACGACGACCATAACCGCGTCGTTACCCCTAGGGTTCGAAGGTAGCCCTGTGACGAAATCCGTGGTAACCTGCTGCCAGGCGCGCTCAGGCGGTGGAATCGGCTGCAACTGACCCGCCTTTCTTTTCTGCGAGCTCTTCATTACCTGACACGTAGGACACGAGCCCACGTGGTGCTGTACGTCGGTCAACAGCTTCGGCCAGTAGTAATACCGCTGCAGTTGCTGTCGCGTTTTTTCTACCCCGAAATGTCCTGAGGTAATCCCGTCGTGTGCCTCTTGCAGTAACAGTTCCCTCAGTAGTGAGTACGCGGGTACCCTGATGCGGTTGGTGCCTGTTTTTATGTAATAGACTCCTCTGGCCTCTGCCAGCTGCTCTGAATTTCCGGTCGTGAAAAATGGGTCGGTACTGTATCCGTGGGTGAATGGGCCTATTAACAGTGGGTTGGTTTGGGCGAGTAGGATGGCGTGGAGTTGGGCGGTGGGGCGAATGAGTGCGTCGGCGATATTGGATGCGCCTTTTTTTTACGTGACAGTGTAGTGGAAGTTGGACTCCAGATAGTCCAACCAGCGGATCTGTTGTGGGTTGAGATTCGGTTGGGCGCGAAGGTACTGTAGGGATCGGTGGTCTATCCGTACTGTCACGTCTGCTCCCGTGAGGTAACATCGCCACACTTTGAACGCGTGCACGATCGCCAGCATTTCGCGGTCGTGTATCGGGTAGTTGCGTTCGGGCGGGTGAAGCTTGCGGGACTCGGACGCGATTGGCTGAAGGCCGTTCCCGAAGTCCTGCAACAAAACTGCCCCCACAGCAATGTCGCTAGCGTCGGTGAAGAGTTCGAATGGACGGTGCGGATCGGCGATGTGAAGCACGGGCGGTGAGCACAAAATATTTTTGAGGGCCGAGAAGGCAACTTGCTCTTTCTCCCCCCACGTGTACTCAACCCCCTTCCTCAGCACGTCGGTCAACGGGGTAGTCAGCTTCGCCATGTCGGGGACGGACCGGCGCACGTAGTTGACGAACCCCAGAAAACTCTGCAACTCGGTCAAGTTGGTCGGCGCGTGCCATGCTTGAATCGTCGCAATCTTTTTCGGGTCTATTTCCACTCCTGTAGTTGAAATAATGTGTCCCAAAAACTCCAGTCGGTCTTGTAAAAACTCACACTTAGACGCTTTTGCCAGTAGGCGGTTCTCACTTAGTATCTTAAAAACTGCTTCGATGTCCTGTGAGTGTTGTGCTCTGTCGGGGCTGTAAATCAGTATGTCGTCAAGGTACACGATGACGCACTTATCTAAAAGCGGGCGGAAGGCTTCGTTCATGGTCATTTGAAAAGTGGCGGGGGCGTTGGTCAGTCCGAAGGGCATGACTGTGAATTCGAAGGATCCGTAGCGTGTTCGGAAGGTTGTCTTAGGGCAGTCGGGTGGGTTGACGCGAATCTGGTGGTAACCTCCCCGAAGGTTGATTTTTGAGAAAACCCGGGCTGTGCGCAGTTGGTCGATTAGTTCATCGGCTCGCGGGATGGGATAACGGAATTTTATGGTAACCCTATTCAGTGCTCTGTAGTCGATGCACATACGAAAACCCCCGTCTTTTTTCGGTGTGAACAGTATCGGTGCTGCGAAAGGTGACGAACTAGGGCGAATAAACTCCTTCTCGAGCAGGTAATCCAGCTGCTTCCTTATTTCGTCCAGTTCGGGTTGGGTCAGTCGGAACTGTCGCTTGTCAGAATGAGAAGTGGTTCCACTAGGTCAAGTGTGGGGTACAAGTAGGAAACCCTAAAGTTATCATACTCCATAGTATCTACCCCACTACCGCCTAAACAAACTGTAGCAGTTATAACATTTGACACACCCCCATAGGCAAAGTGGGGGAGAGCAAGGGGTCACAAGACCAGTCAAGAAAGGCAAAGCAAGCTCAGGGTGGATCACAACGTCACCACACTCACTGAGCACAAGCAAGAGGCCACAAGGCCAGTTCACATGCAGAGACATATATGTAACACAAGCATCACAGTGATCTATACCTAGCAAAGCAAGCATGCAGGTATATATATATATAGATCACAGTACAGGCAAAGTCTACAACAAGTGAGGAAAAGTGGGCACAAGCCCTAGCAAAGTGCAGAAACGCTGATGATCACCAGACTGAAGTGCCTTGGTGAATATATCAGCTGTGTTGGCCTGAGTGGCCACGTAACGCAGACGAAGCTGACCACGCTGCTGCAACTCTCGAGCCAGAAAGTAA